CGCAAGAAGGCCCGCCTCGTCGTGAAAGGCTTCACACCGGTCTACGGTGCAGACTACGACGAGACGTACGCGCCAACAGGGAGCTACGTGACTCTGCAGATCTTCCTCAGCATCGTAGCAGTCCTCGACCTGCATCTGATGTAGCTCGGCATGAAGAACGCGTTCCTGCACAGCAAGCTCGACCGCATACTCTACATGTACCAGCCGAACTACTACAACGACGGGACCGGCCGAGTGTGCAAGCTGTTGAAGAGCCTCTACTGGCTGAAGCAATCGTCGCTGCTGTGGTACAAGGCGCTCGACGACGTGCTAACTGGCGCCGACTGGAAGAAGAGCCAGGTCGACGAGGCCCTCTACTTCAAGGTCTGCGACGACGGGGTAGTGTGCTAGGTGCTTGTCTACGTTGACGACCTGCTCGCCGCCAGCATAAGCCTCGCATGCTGAAGGAGTTGAAGGAGCTGCTGGAGGCCGCCTTCGAGCTGCGCGAGATCAAGCCGGTCGAGAAGTATCTCGGGCTGGAAATCGTGTGCGAAAGGCCGGCGAGGAAACTGTGGCTTCACCAGCAAGTCTACATCGACAAGCTACGTCGGCGTTTCATCGACGAGGAGCAGACCGGGCGAGTGGCGAAGACGCCGGTCTCCGTCGACGCTTACGCAGAGCTTACATTCGACGACGAGGATGCGCAGTCACACGAAGGGGAGGAGTATCGGCAGAAGGTCGGTTCGCAGCAGTTCGCGGCGACGACGACGAGGCCGGACATTGCCTTCGCGTGCACCAAGATGGGGAGCGGCTTGACAGTGTGGAGCGACAACCACTGGCGCGAGGTCGACCGTTGTCTGCACTACCTCGCAGACACTGTTGACTGGAGTCGCTGTGTCTTGTCGGCTATGCGGACGCCGGCGACGCTGAGGACAAGCAGAATCGGACGAGCACGGGCGGCTACGTGTTCGTCTTCGGAGGGGCCACGGTCTTGTGGTCGAGCCAGCACATCAAATGCGCGACGCTCTCGTCGACCGACTTGGAGTACGTCGCGGCCACGGAAGTTGGCAAGGAGGCTCGTCGTCTTCGCTTCCTTCTTGCAGAGTTCCAGCTGCTCAACACTGGGAAGCCGACTGTGCTGCACGTGGACAACCAGTCGGCCATCACGGTCGCTGAGGGCTTGGGGCTCAAGGGCAACCTCAAGCACATGGAGCGACAGTACGTATGGCTGCAGCATATGGTGAAGCGCGTAAAGATTGCTCTACAGTACATCCCGACCACCAAGCGGCCGGCCAATTTTCTAACAAAGGCGCTGCATTTTCCGGCTTTCGACCGGTGCTCCGTCGCAATTGGTCGAGTGCGTTTGGCCGACGTCGGTGATGGTGATGACGAGGTGCAATAGTAGGTGCCCTTCTGCACGGCTGGTGCGGTGATATGCGTGCTAAAGTTTGGTGCATGCAGATAAAGTTTCTCCTTCTCTTCTATCCCTTGGGTTCTGGGTAGACCTAGTGTTTAGGATGCCCAAGCGCGAGCGCGGCATGGGAGTGTTGATGGGAAATGGCCCCGCCCTCGCTTAGGCGAAGCAGACTTTGCAGTTGAACCGGGGGGGGGCGCAGAAGTCGACGCAGACTGCGCGCATAGTTTGACGTCGACCTGTTCATATAGTTCGACCTCGACTAGTCCGCAAAACTCGATCTCGACCAGTCCGCAGAGGACGCTGGTCGACGTGTCCGCAGAGGACGCTGGTCGATGCGTCCGCAGAAGAAACTGGTCAACGCGCTCGTAGAGGACGCTAGTCGACGAGCCCGTAGAGGGATGCTGGTATACGGGCTCTGCTCGGCGTGCTCGTCTAGGCGAATGCTGTTATACGGAGCATCGTCGAGTTGATCGACTCAAGTCGCTCGACTGCGAAATCCGACGCATAGGCGAATGTCGCCCAGAAGGTTTTCGCGAAGTCAACCCGCGGAACGGCATCACGTGCTCGACGGTGCATGGTTAGAGAAACCGTCGCCACGTGTTCTACCTGGCACCTGCGCAATGTGCCTGGCGGCGCGACCGTCTACCTGCACCTACTTGGTAGGTACGCACTTGCGCAGTTCACCTGCCTGTACAGCGCTGGCAGACTGCTGTGATGCAATGCTGGCAGACTACTCTGCTGTAGCGTTGGCAAGCCACTCTTCTGCTGCGCTGGCAGAGTTCGCTCTGCAGAGAGCTTGCTAGTTGTTGCAATGCCATTCTGGCTATATCGACTTGCATGCCTCATTGTACTCAATGTTCTGTCAATTTCTTAGTGAAACTCTTGCCAAATTTCCTTGTGAACACAGCAAGTAGTAAGAACGCCTAGTGTAACACTACGATCACCCTCACAACCCAGAGCCTTCCTTCGCAGTCCATTCCCGTTGTGTAGTTACTCTCCACACTCTCTTCCTGATCGCAATTTCCCGTGCCAAGTAGTACACCCGTGCGTGCACGACAAAATTCACACCACTCGCCGCAGCACTCGTTTTGTCTGGCGGGATATTGTGCATGTTCGCATCACACCTCGCCAGCCAGATTTGGTGAAGTGTGGTGGCGATGAAAGAACCTTCTGGAAACCCCGACTTCGTGCTCCTCTGCATGAAAAGCAAACCTTCCAGGTCCTACCAGCGCTTCTCCGGATTCATCTCCATCAATCCTTGCTTCAGGAAGGCCACCGCCTTTTGTATTGCCAGGCAGCCAAGCAGGCAGAGTTCCGGCGTTTCTTCCCGTTTGCAGTGCGGACGGACTACGTTGATGCACAGGAACTGCAGCCTCGGGCCCACTTGTAAGTTTCTGCAGTGTAACCTCAGCAAAACGACACGCACACGGGCAGGTGTGGCAAGGGAATCTCTCTGCCTGATGACCCCCTCCCACTCGATCGCTGCTCCCTGCCCCTCCCATCTTCTCTGCCCTTTTGGCGTGACAGCCGAGATCTGCATAGCTCTCCTGACCTCCCTTAGCAGCGCTACCGTACCGTTCTTGCACTGCTGCGTTTGTAGAAGCCTCGTTCGTACTTCCCCATCGGCCCGAGCACAAATTCACCGTGCGCCGCCATCGGAACTATCAGGTTGCCCTGGAGGTCGAGTTTAACTGTTAAGTTTTCCCCGTCACATACACTGACAAGTGATCATTTGCGATCGCTTAGTGATAACTTGCGATAACGAGCCAACGTTACCGTATGACCCCGGATATAAGCGCATGTCTATTAAAAGCGAATGCGCTTACATCAGGAGCAATGCGCTTATGGCCGATCCTCATTTATAAGCGCACCCCTTATAAAACCCTAATATATTATAAGCGCGTGTGTAATTTTCTTATTAAAACCTTGATAAAAACGGTAACGAATTTCAATTTTGCATCGAGGCCACAACCATTTTCGCTTAGGTTGACTTTCGAGGAACCCACATCCCGCGCGTCAGTCAACACAAGCTGGCACGCCCTCTAAGTGAGGTGTTACATTGTACTTTGCATCTGTGCGCTGGCAGTGAATCGTCCGCGCACGATTCTGGTCTGTGACACTTGACTATTTCGATTTGATTGAAATCGCAGGGATGAGATGTACAATTTGGTGCCTTTAAATTATATACCGGTATCTGTATTTGTCATTTTATAAGCGCATGCGCGTATATTTTTTACTCAATTATAAGCGCACCCCCCTAAAAAACACTGTTTTATTATAAGCGCAGGTGCGCTTATATCCGGGGTGATACGGTCATGCGCATGTAGGTATATCATTCACTAATACAGCATGTAATTAGTGACTACCGGTATAATTTCCCAGTTTTCTTCTGGTCCGAGAATGGCAAAACAAGAACCCAGTGTGGTTCAGTTCGTTTTGATGCGTTCAAGAGGGATCATTCATTGGACGGGAGTTCGATAAAGTCTCCTTCGGTACCTGGTTGATTGCGGTCAGGAACTACACACAAAATCAGCCCTCGTTTAAAATTGTGCGGCAGAATGCCAACAGAAAGCGGAGGTGATCAGTGGTCTCCGAAAATTCATAAAATCCGGATTCGCGGTTGATTCTGCGCACGCGCACGACTTTGCGCGCAATGCCAACGTGCTACCTCCGCAGCCTGATTGCGAATGTGCGGTGCCAGTGGGGGATGGGTAGCTAGCGGGAGGAGTGTAGCACATTTGCACTAAGACTCGTGCCGAATCGCCTTTCCCCTGCATACGCCACCGCTCCTGGCGCCTCTCCGCCGCGAATCGGCTCACTTCTCTTTCCCCTAGCCCCGCTCCTCGCCCCGAGCCGCACGATACTCATTCCCCCAGGGCACGCCAAGTTTCCGCACTGCTACTTCATCTAGTGCCGTTTCGCTGTGCTCCCCCACGCCTACCGCCCGTACTCCGCGCCTTCCGCCCGTACTCCGCACCTTCCGCCCGTCCTCCGCGTCCCCGAGCAGCTTCCGCGCGCGCTCGTGCTCCCCGCAACCCCCCACGTCGGCTAGTAGTATTGGCACGACCGTTCCACCTTCTCCCAGCTCTCGTTGCACGCAGATAGAGGGGATGCGGGGGGGAAGGTGAGGAGGATGGGCGGGGGAAGATCGGGAGGAGAGTGGGTATGGCAACCGAGAGTGGTTTGCGCGCGTATATGATAGCGTAAGCTGGCCGCTGAGACGTTGGAGTGGTTCTTTAGAACCAACTGGTCTGCACGTGGTGGCTTGCTGCGTGTATGCATGGCGACTTGCGTTGCACGTGGTGCTACGAGTGGCGGTGGCAGCGAGGCAGAAGGAGAGAAGTGGAGACGGGCAAGGGCGGATGGGACGCTTTGTGATGATGGGGAGGAGGCGAAGGAGTGCAGTGCGGTGATGGGTGGTGAGGTGCGTGGGCGGGAGGAGAGTGGGTGGGAAGGAGGGGGGAAACGTGTGGAGGAGGGGAGGAACGGGGAGGATAGGGAGGAGGGGGAGGAGCCAGCGGGGGGGGATGAAATGAGAGAGTGTGTGGAGGAGGGGGGGGAGGGGAAGGAAGAAGAGGAGGATGATGGTGAGGAATGGGCAGTGATGCATGGTAATGACGAGGGGGAGTGTGAGTATGAGGAGGAGGAGGAGGAGGAGGAGGAGGAGGAGGAGGAGGAGGAGGAGGAGGAGGAGGAGGAGGAGGAGGAGGAGGAAGAGGAGGAAGAAGAAGAGAAAGAGGAGGAGGAAGAGGAAGAGGAGGAGGAGGGAGGGAGAAGGGAGGACAACCGGGAGAAGGAGGCAGGTGCGAGGGGAGAACAGGGAGGAGGAGGCAGGGCTGTGGGGCGGAGAGGGGGGCACGAGGCCGGGGTTTTACGGCAGGGTGGCAGCAGCAGAGGCAGAGCGCATGGGGGCAGGGCTGCGTTGGGGGAGGAGCGAGATTGGAATGGGCGTGCTGATGTGCGTGCTGATGATGATACTCATGGCGTCACGAACCGATGCCTTGGCGTAGGCGGGGAGGGCATGGAGGGGAGGGAGGGCAGTGAGCGCATGGAGAGGAGGGAGAGGAGGGAGGGTAGGGAGGGCAGAGAGGGCAGGGAGGGCAGAGAGGGCAGGGAGGGCAGGGAGGGCAGAGAGGGAAGGGAGGGAAGGGAGGGAAGGGAGGGAAGGGAGGGAAGGGAGAGAAGGGAGGGAAGGGAAGGCACTGAGGGCAGGGAGGGTGAAATGGACATTGGGGGGCATGGAGGTGGATGTGGGGGAGCTGCTGCTGTGGCTGCATGCTAATGGCGCCACTCCTGACCCACACACATGGCCCTTCAAGGTGCGTGCGTGCATGCATCTGTCTTGTATGGCTGGCCATGGAATGATGACATCCTATGCATTGCAGTGCCATGCGGTGCCATGCAATGCATTGCAAGCACGCAGATTGCTGCACTCACACTTGACCAACCGTCTATGGATCTGCTCTACTCTCTGCATTGCACATTGCAAATCTCCTCCCTTTTCCTGCGTCTTCTCTCCCCTCTCCCACACCCTGTCTACTGCACTCGCAACCCACCTCTTTTGTTTTGTTCCCGTGTCTTTGGGGCGGCATGGCGTGGTGTGGTGTGGCATGGCATGTGGCATGGCATGGCGTGGCATGGCATGGCACATCACACCTTATCAGGTGGTGGTGTGTCCGCTGCTGCATCTGCCCCCCGGATCCAGACATGCTGGTCCCAGAGGCAGGTGAGAGAGAAAAGGGTAAGCAAAGACACGCATGGGTTGCAATAGAGGTCGCATGTGGGGGTGGGTGTGAGAGCACGAGGGAAGGGAAGGGGTTGTGTTGTGTGTGGGGTGAAAGAACGAGGGCAGGGGATTGTGTGTACTTGCTTGCAGCTTAGAATCTTGCAGCTCATTTAATTCATTGATTTTCTGTCCACTGAGCTTCGATGTATTGGATTCATTGATCCTTCCCCTCCACATGATCCTCCTTCCCTTCACTTCCCAACCCATCCTTCTCTCGCATCGCATCCACTCTCCCCTCATCTCCACCCACCCGTACCAACCCTTCCACGCCTGACCTGGGCCTCGTGGCATCTTGCCACATAGCGCCAGGCGAGCTGCTTTTCTGCATACTCTGCACCTCCCTTCCCACTTCCTTCCACCCATCAACCTCTCCCCCCTCCCTCGTCACCTTCTCTCCTGCACCCCACTATCCCCAGGCCTGACCTGGGTCTCGTGGCATCGCGCCACATAGCGCCAGGAGAGCTGCTCTTCTGCATACCGCCCAATCTGCAGATCACTCCCGATCGCATCGCCCCCGCCTACTCGCTCCCTCACACCCACCCCTGCCCCTGCTCCTCTTGCTCCCCCTCGCCCTTTCCTCCTACGCCCACTTCTGCCTCTAATCCTGGAGGGAGTAACCCAGGGAGTGAGAGTAAGGGAGAGGAGAAGGGAGAGGAGAAGGGAGAGGGGAAGGGAGAGGAAAAGGGAGAGGGGAAGGGAGAGGGTGAGGAGGAGGAGCGGTGCGAGGAGGGACTTGGAGGCCTCAACAGAGACTTAGAGCCTGGGAACCCTTTATTCACTGAAGGTGGCAGTGGTGGCAGTGGCAGTGGTAGTAGCAGTGGTTCCACTGGATGCAGCAGATGGCAGGGGAGCAGCGTGGAGAGCACGAGAGATGGTGGCGCTGCTGCTGTGTGCGTCCGTGCAGATCCGGCCTGTTCTGGCGGCTGTGGCGGCAGTTGCAACTCTGACAGCAGTGGCAGCAGTAGCAGCGATGTCTGTAGTAGCAGCGTGTGTTCACTGCCGGAAGACCGGGTGTGCAATGTTGCAGACTCAGCACGTGGTAGTGATAGTAGCACTGTAGTAGCTGAAGCATCAGTAGCTGCAAGTTCAGCAGCATTAGTATCGTCACCATCACCACCACCATCACCATCACCATCACCATCACCATCACCATCACCATCACACTTATCATCTCCATCCCCTAACAGAGGCCTGACAAGGAGCGCAGGCGTGGCAACAACAGAAGCAACAGGAGAAGCAGCAGCACCGGGATCAGCAGCGGCACCAACAGCACCACCACTACCATCAGCACCATCACCAGCACCACCACCAGCACCACCACCAGCACCACCAGCCGTACCAGCAGCAGCACCAGCAGCACCAGCAGCACCAGCCTCCTCCAATGGGTGGGCAGCGAGCACGGGCATGGCGGCATGGCTGCTACGAGAGGTGTCCAAGGGGCACGCCTCCCCATGGGCTCCCTACCTCGCCACCCTGCCCCCCCACGTGCCGCTGCCGTCCCTCTTCCCGCTCGCCACCATCCAGCAGCTGCAGTGGCGCCCCACTGAAGCCATGGTGAGAGCCTTCTGGTTGCACACGCGATACCATTCCGTTCCATTCCGTTCCATTCCATTTCATTCCATGCATGCAATGAAAATCCTACCCACATAACAACCGGGAGTCAGGAGACTATTTTCTGGGCTCGCCCTAAGAATCTCACAGCAGCTATCCACGTGATAACGGTTGTGCTTTGAGTCTTGGGACGTCTCAACCACAACTTGCTATGCTATGCTAGCAAAGAATTCGACTCAAAGGTCGGCTGCTATGGAATTCATGCTATGCTATGCCCTACTGAAGGGATGGTTCGAGGTAGGGAGTGGTGGAGGGGAGGGAGGAGGGGAGAGCAGGGGGGGAGCAGGGGAGGATATGAAAGGGGAAGGAAAAGAGGGGATGGAAAGTGCGGCGTGAGGGAAACGGACAATTGTGGGAGCATGTGGTTGGAAGCTGGAGGGCTACTTGGAGTGCAAATGCAAACTGGATGGCTGATGGCGTACCATTATTGAGGCGCCTCAAAAGATGGCGCATCATTCGCTCCTTTTCTTATTCATCTTCTTCACACCAGGCGCACTGTCCCCTGCCCGCATCAAGGTGACTTTTGAGTCGACTCAAAAGTCACCTCTTCTTCACACCAGGCGCACTGTCCCCTGCCCGCATCATCCCCCACAACTTCATCATTTCGGTGGCCGGCCCCTCCTCCTTCCCTCACACATTTCTCATGCTGCACTGCCAACCTCCAACCCAACCAGCCAACCCGATGCTGCACCCCACCGCACCTCCCAACCACAGGCGGTGGCGTATCGGCATGTGTACGAGCAGGAGTACCGGCAGTGCGCCCCTGACGAGGTGACTTTTGAGTCGACTCAAAAGTCCACTCCACCGCACCCCCCACCCACAGGCAGTGGCGTATCGACACGCGTACGAGCAGGAGTACCGGCGGTGCGCCCCTGACTTCATCGCCCATTCGCCCCTCTCCGCCTTCCTCTGGGCCATGACCGTCATCTCCTCTCGCACCTTCTCCTCCCCTTCCCCTCCCTCCTCGCCCTCCTCCGCCTCCGCTGACCCCTCCTCTTCCTCCTTGCCACCTTCAGCCGCAGCAGCAGCGCCAGCGCCAGCAGCAGCAGCAGCAGCAGCGCCAGCGCCAGCAGCAGCAGCTGCGGCATGTGAGGAGAACAGCTGGGGGGCGCTGCTGCCCCTGGCGGATCTGATGAACCACAGCGAGCACTACAACGTCACATGGACTGTCAGTGCCAACGCCCTCCCTTTCCCTCCCTCCCTCCCTCCCTCCCTCCCTCCCTCCCTCCCTCCCTCCCTCCCTCCCTCCCTCCCTCCCTCCCTCCCTCCCTCCCTCCCCCCCTCCCTCCTCCCTCTCTCCCTCCCTCCCTCCCTCCCTTCCAATCCCCTCTCCTTGCAACTTCCCTCCTCTACCATCCTCGCCATACCCTAAAACCCCCGCCGTTTCTACTACCTCATACCTTCCCAGATGTAAGAGCGTATGGTTGAACGTTCGTCAGTGCCCAGGGGATAGCTGCGCGGGCCGTCAACCAAACGCTGCTGCTTTCCCCCAACACCACAATGCAAATCCGCCCGTTCCCCGCCCCTCCTTCCCATCCTCCCCATCCTCTCCTCCTTCCCTATCCTCCCCATCCTCACCTCCTTCCCTATCCTCCCCATTCTCACCTCCTTCCCTATCCTCCCCATTCTCACCTCCTTCCCTATCCTCCCCATCCTCTCCTCCTTCCCATCCTCCCCATCCTCACCTCCTTCCCTATCCTCCCCATTCTCACCTCCTTCCCTATCCTCCCCATCCTCACCTCCTTCCCTATCCTCCCCATCCTCTCCTCCTTCCCATCCTCCCCATCCTCACCTCCTTCCCTATCCTCCCCATTCTCACCTCCTTCCCTATCCTCCCCATCCTCACCTCCTTCCCTATCCTCCCCATTCTCACCTCCTTCCCTATCCTCCCCATTCTCACCTCCTTCCCTATCCTCCCCATCCTCTCCTCCTTCCCATCCTCCCCATCCTCTCCTCCTTCCCATCCTCCCCATCCTCTCCTCCTTCCCATCCTCCCCATCCTCTCCTCCTTCCCTATCCTCCCCATTCTCACCTCCTTCCCATCCTCCCCATCCTCTCCTCCTTCCCATCCTCCCCATCCTCTCCTCCTTCCCATCCTCCCCATCCTCACCTCCTTCCCCATCCTCCCCATCCTCTCCTCCTTCCCCATCCTCCCCATCCTCTCCTCCTTCTCATCCTCCCCATCCTCTCCTCCTTCCCTATCCTCCCCATCCTCTCCTCCTTCCCCATCCTCCCCATCCTCTCCTCCTTCCCCATCCTCCCCATCCTCTCCTCCTTCCCATCCTCCCCATCCTCTCCTCCTTCCCCATCCTCCCCATCCTCTCCTCCTTCCCATCCTCCCCATCCTCTCCTCCTTCCCTATCCTCCCCATCCTCTCCTCCTTCCCCATCCTCCCCATCCTCTCCTCCTTCCCCATCCTCCCCATCGTCTCCTCCTTCCCATCCTCCCCATCCTCTCCTCCTTCCCATCCTCCCCATTCTCTCCTCCTTCCCATCCTCCCCATCCTCACCTCCTTCCCCATCCTCCCCATCCTCTCCTCCTTCCCCATCCTCCCATCCTCTCCTCCTTCCCATCCTCCCCATCCTCTCCTCCTTCCCATCCTCCCCATCCTCTCCTCCTTCCCTATCCTCCCCATCCTCTCCTCCTTCCCCATCCTCCCCATCCTCTCCTCCTTCCCATCCTCCCCATCCTCTCCTCCTTCCCCATCCTCCCCATCCTCTCCTCCTTCCCATCCTCCCCATCCTCTCCTCCTTCCCTATCCTCCCCATCCTCTCCTCCTTCCCCATCCTCCCCATCCTCTCCTCCTTCCCCATCCTCCCCATCCTCACCTCCTTCCCCATCCTCCCCATCCTCTCCTCCTTCCCCATCCTCCCCATCCTCTCCTCCTTCCCATCCTCCCCATCCTCTCCTCCTTCCCTATCCTCCCCATCCTCTCCTCCTTCCCCATCCTCCCCATCCTCTCCTCCTTCCCATCCTCCCCATCCTCTCCTCCTTCCCCATCCTCCCCATCCTCTCCTCCTTCCCATCCTCCCCATCCTCTCCTCCTTCCCTATCCTCCCCATCCTCTCCTCCTTCCCCATCCTCCCCATCCTCTCCTCCTTCCCCATCCTCCCCATCCTCACCTCCTTCCCCATCCTCCCCATCCTCTCCTCCTTCCCCATCCTCCCCATCCTCTCCTCCTTCCCATCCTCCCCATCCTCTCCTCCTTCCCTATCCTCCCCATCCTCTCCTCCTTCCCCATCCTCCCCATCCTCTCCTCCTTCCCATCCTCCCCATCCTCTCCTCCTTCCCTATCCTCCCCATCCTCTCCTCCTTCCCCATCCTCCCCATCCTCTCCTCCTTCCCCATCCTCCCCATCCTCTCCTCCTTCCCATCCTCCCCATCCTCTCCTCCTTCCCTATCCTCCCCACGCTCCTCATCCCTCCCTATGCTCTCTATTCTTCTCAATCCGCCCATTCTTGACTGCCATCCCTCGTTCAGAGCTCCTCATATCCCGTGCTACCCTCGTTGACCCTTCGTTCTTTCCCCATTCTGCCCCTCTCCTCATCCTCACTCCCCCTCACTCTCTACCTTCCGCGGCCCTTGTCGCCACACCTCTCCTCACATCCCCCTCTCCTTGCAACTTTCCTCCTCTACCATCCTCTCCTCCTAAGCCGTTCGTGTCTCCCCCCTTATCCTCCTTTCCCAATCCCCTCTCTTCCTCCCCACGCCCCCGTTCCCCCAATCCCAGCGAGCCTCATCAGGCCACTACATGTTCCACGCCATTGCCCCCATCGCCCCCGGTGCCGACCTCCTCACACACTACGGCGTGCGTTCCTCCCACTCCTTCCTCCTCTCCTACGGCTTCTCCCCCCATCCCAACTCCTTTGACTCCCTCCCCCTCTTCCGCTCCTCTTCTGACCTGCTTGAGTTCTTCGCGGAGCATTATTTCCCCGGGGATTTTGGGGAGGAGGATGGGGAGGTGGCGAGGGGGGTGATGGGGGAGGTGGAGGAGAGTGTGAAGAGTGTGGGGAGGGTGGTGAGGGTGCTGATTGGGGCTGTAGAGGATGGAGGTGGGGAGGGGGTGGGGGAGAGTGGGGATGAGTGTGAGGGGAAGGGTGAGGGGGAGCGGGAGGGGAAGATTGATGGGGAGATTGAGGGGGGAATTGAAGGGGAGAGGAAGAAGGAGACTACTAGACGAATTGATGGGGGAAACGGTGGGTGTAGCGGTGGGGAGAGAAGGGAGAGGGTGACCATTTGTGAGGGGGGCGTGGATGGAGAAGAGGAGGAGTTGGTGCAGATCGGTTGTGATGGGGGGAGTGTGATGGAGGGTGGTGGGAGTAGTGGTGGAGAGAAGGTGGAAAACAGAGGCTCTAGATGTGAAACTAGCTGTGCAAGGTGTGAGGATGGGCAAGAGGAGGGAGCTGTGGTGGTACTGGGTGCTGATGAGGAGGATGGGGGGAGAGGGAGGGCAAGAGAGGAGAGGAGCGGAGCGAGGGGGGGTAGTGTGGAGGAGGAAGAAGATGGGAACAGAAAGTGGAATGGCAAAAGTGGTTTGAGAAAAGCATGTGAAGCTGTGAATGGCTGGACGAAAGACGAAGGAAATACGGATAGAAGAGGGGGGGAGACAAGAGAGGGAAGTCAAGAGGGTGCCGGAATGGAGATCAATCGTGCCTTGGATGAGCGGGGGGCGAGATTGCAGGAGAACGGAAAGACGGCGGAGAAAGAGGATGAGAAGAACGGGGGAAAGCAGAGTGACGCTGAGAAACGTGCAGAAGCACATGCTTTCTCTAAAAAACCGGGAAAAACAAATGCCGCAGCGCAGAGCTCACCAGAAAAGCAATCTCCGTCAAACTGCCCCTCGGGAAAGGATTCAGCAGCAGCAGAGAGATCACCAGCAACCGCCACAGTGTACCTGCAGTACGGGACGAGTCTGTACGGGCCAGAGTACAGCTTTGAGGCGGAGCAGGGGTATGCGGTGTGGCCGCATGGGCATGTGGACCCTCGCATCATGGCGTCCTTTGCTGCTCTCTGGCACCTCTTTGTCTATGGCCGCGGTGAGTGCCAGTGTGTTGTGCGTGTGAGTGTTCAGTCCACGAGTGGGTTCTATGAGTGTTGTATGCGCGAGTATCTTCCTTCCAAGTCTTTCAATTTGGGCTCTTCTTCATCTACGGTCAGAGTGATTGCGAGTGCGTATTTGAGGCTATCGTAACTGTGTGGTCTTGGTGAGTGTGTGGCCAAGGTGCTTTCCTTCTTCTGCCATTGCTATTGCTTGTGCCATTGCTTGTGCCCGCACGGGTTCCTGGTATACCAGTCTGACTTTTATGATCCCGTTACCTCATCCCACTCCATCTAATCCACTTGGCCCGCATTCCCTTCCATGTTGCACCCCTTATCATCCTGTAATTTCCCCACCCACCCACTTACTCTTCATCTACAGCCTCAGAAGCACCCGATACCCTGTGTTAAACCCTACTCTTTTGCTAGGCCATCCCCCACTCACTCACTGCATGCCCTTCTGCCCCATTGCTCCCGCTCTTTCCATCCCCTCAAACCCCCCCCTCATCCTCCCCCGCTTCCCAAATTCAGAGCCCCGGCACCACCCTATAGCCTGTGCCAGCGTTCTGTACTGCTGGGGCATCTCCCACCCGGCATTGCACCCCCTGCGCCCCCGCCTCTCCCCCCACCTGCTTGCATGCCTGAAAGCTGCTCTGGATGGCATACACGCGCGTTGTTGTGCTGTTATTGATGGGTTTGGAAGCCGGTTGGAGGAGGATGAGGAGGAACTGGCAGGCTTGTTGGCGAGAGAGAGGAGGGGGTTGACAAAGAGGGTGGGGAAGAGGAAGAATGTGAGGAGGGTTGTGGAGGGAGGAGGAAGGGAGGGTCCCGGAGAAGGGGAGGACGGTCGGAGGGAGGAAATTATTGAGATTCAAGAGAATGAGGGGAGTAAGGAAAGCGAGGAAAGTGAGAGTGAGGAGAGTGCGGAGGACGGAGGGGACAGGAAAGGGGGCATAGCGGAGAGGGAGGCAAGGGAGAGGGAGGTGGTGTTGCGGTATCGGATAGGGAGGAAGAGGCTGGTGGGGGTATTGGAGAGGAGACTGAGGAGGTCGCTTACAGGGGGGTTGAAGGGGATGGGGGGAGGAGAGTTGGAAGAGAGGGCAGTCATGGGGAGGTTGATGGAAGGAAGCACCATGTGGTAGTAAGCATCGCTCTGCAATGGAGCTGCAGTTGATGTGCTCCTACGTTCCAAGCCTTTTCGTATTGTTTTCAACCACTTCCATTCAGGGCCAGTGTGTAAAGGTTGTGTAGCCAGATGTCTGGGATAGGGTTTCTGATGTTCCCACCCTGTAGTATGAGGGAGGGAAATGTCAAGCAACTTCACTTCCTCAATGATGACATTTGGAAGTCTATATGCTTGTTCGTGCTCACAAGTTGCTGCTTGCTGGCGGGCACATGCAGTTGCAATAATTTAATGCTTTGGGGTGCCTGCCTTAGTGGAGCCTTTTTAAAGAAAAAGGAAGCTCTTTGGAGGAAGCTGCTAGCCCGTGGTACTATTGGTATTCTACTGCAATGGAAGCATCGCCTTACTACCACACACGCTCCTCCCAGAGGAAGTAGGGTATCATGTTTATCGCCACCTCCTAGAACTTGGGCGGTGTTGCTGTCCCCTGGGTTCTCTAAGCGGTATTTCATTTATTTATTTCTGCTACGAATTGAGACGTTGAATTGACAGCCAAGCGGAAAACAAGCCTGTTGGGGGGGTACCACGCCCCTACCACGCACCATGTTCAATCAATGTCTCTTTAGTCACAATCATCTGCCATGGTACGGTAAGTCCATTTGTACAAGGTATGTTCACAACAAACGTCACGTCAGTGAGGAAGTCAATTAGAGATAAACTGCTAACCGTGAAGCACAGCCACGATGGGCCTTGAACAAACAATGATCCACACGCAGTTTGGCAACTCGTGCCATCCACGGCCTTCGAAATTCAGTGAGCAATGAGCGACTGGAGAAAAGTCTGAATTGGCGAAAAGACAGATGTGCACAACGACCGACGGTCTCCGACGCGCTGAGCTTTATTCGCATTCTCTGTTGCTGGCGAGTCACGTTTTCTCTTGCAGGAAGTTAACCTGTTATTTTCCATAAGCTTATTTAACGGAATGCTTTCTGGTACGTTCAATTCGAACCCCCCTTGGTCCTCAACCAAGTCCAGAAGAAATCTGGAGAACTTGAATTCACCTGTGGAACCGAGACCAGGTGTTATGGAGCTCCCCGTAAATTAATATGAAAATTTGCAAAGAACCACAAGATATCAATTACGTTTCTTGGAATCCCTCGTCTTTCTGCGGGCCGAGGTCGTGGTGGCCGAGTTGATTCTTTCCCATTGCTGATTTGCGGATGGTGGCCGGCGTGAGAGAAGAGGAACATCCTCTGCAGATACAAGGTTCAGGTTAGCATCGACTAAAAACTGTCAATGTGAATCACCATCATGTGGTACCTCTCCGAATTACGCAGCTAAACACGAAATCGTGAGCAGCCATGGCTTGATGGGACTCCTGCATAGTGAGCTCTGGTCTGGTGGATCGCAGCTGCTGGTGCTGGAAATGATGGGAATGGGGAATGTTAGCGGGGTTCAAATGCTCGGCACGGGCTGGCTCCAAACCGCAATACGCGTTATTCATATCACCGACTTCCACTTTTGTGAGTGTCGGTTCCCCATGTTTAACTACCTCTTTCAGAAACGCGATCATACTTGACATAATGCAACAATTACACATCGGCAGGGCCCAAAATATCAGGGTAAAATACCCATTTTTCCCTTTCTGTAGGCCGCTTGTTTTCAGTTACCTTGATCAAGGCAGGCTAACCGGATAGTTACCCTTTCTTCAAATTACCGGTACTGGCTTTTTTTTTACCCTTTAAAAAACAGAGTACGTGTTTTACTTCCTTGGCCAGAGACTGTAATATGTGGGCTATACCTATACTGCAACTCGCCGAGACGCGCATACCTTTAGTAAAGCAGCCGCCGACATCAAGATTTGAACCCGCGATATTAATGATTTGAAGAATTCGCTAACTGACTAAGTCACAAATTGACGTTTTTGTTGCGATCAGAAGTTGATCGTCCCTAGGATCACCTCAGGAAGGTTCGCACACGACTGAGTAGTGGTGGTGGGCCCTTGACCTCAATAGCAGAGTGAATGTAAATGCTTCAGATAATAAAAACATGCAAATACAGCACTATAAGAGTACAAGGGAATACCAATCGACCTAGCTAGCCATGTACTATAAGAAGTACATTCCCTTTTTTACAGTGAACACCAACCGTGCGACTCCAGACAGTTACGAAACTCTTCGGGCAGAATCCTCGCCACTGCTGCTGCCTGATGCTGTTTGCCCGACGGTCCAGATGCTTTTCGTAACCGTGCGACTCTTCGCGTTACTTCCGCCCTTTCGTCTTCAACCCCGGTAGTGCGTGCTTCGCTTGCTGCGGTGAGGAGTGTGAAACTTAGAACGAGAATGATGAACTAGGAAATGAGTTGGGTACAAATATGAAACCCTAGAAAGCTGTACCCCATACTGTCTACCCCACTACAGCCTAGAAAGACTATAGCATATAAGTTCGACACACCCCCATAGGCAAAGTGGGGGAGAACAAGGGGTCACAAGACCAGTCAAGCAAAGCACAGCAAGCTCAGGGTGGATCCCAACGTCACCACACATTCTGAGCGCAAGTTCAAGGGCCACAAGGCCAGTTCACATGCAAGCATATATATATATATAAAGCTAAACATGCAAGTGCAAGTATATATAGGTCACAGTACAAGCAAGGTCAAGAAGTGAGCAAGTGAGGCAAAGTAGGTACAAGACCTAACAGAGTACAGAAGCGCTGATGATCACAAGGCGCGAGTGCCTTGGTGAAGATATCAGCAGTGTTGGCCTGAGAGGCCACGTAAGCAAGTCGCAGCTGACCACGCTGCTGCAGCTCACGAGCAAGGAAGTAGCGAAGAGCAATGTGCTTCGTTCTGTGCTCCAGTCTGTGCTCACGACACAAGGCCAGCATGGCCTTGTTGTCTACGTACAGAAGTGGAGGCGAACGAGGCTGCTCTCCAAGGTCAGTCAGCAGGTAGGTGAGCCAGCGTAACTCCTGTGCAGCCATGGCCCCCGCGTAGATCTCAGCCTCACAACTGGAGCCGAGAACAGAAGACGAGCGGGTAGACCGCCACGAAACAGAGCCGGAACCAAGGCTGAAAGTGTAACCCTGTGACGACCGCTGTGTAGCCTGGTCGTCAGCCCAAGAAGCGTCTGCGTGACCAGTGAGGACCACTGGACTCCACCCTCCAAGCACAAGCCCCATGCCCGACGTACTGCACAAGTAGCGCAACACCCTCTTCGCTGCAGCCATGTGCTCTGGTCTGTGTCTCCCAGGAGCAACATAGCGTGCCAGAATGCTAAGAGGGTATGCAAGGTCAGGTCGAGTGCAGGTCATCAGGTACATGAGGCAGCCAACAAGCTCTGGGTACGGGCCACTCGACTCTACGGACTCATCCGAAGGCAGAGCTGAGAGCGAGTGGCGAGTAGACAGAGGAGTGGCCTGAGGCGAGGAGTACGTGAAGCCGAAGCGCTGAAGGACCTGCTGCACCATGTGTGACTGAGTCAGGGTAATGGTGCGCTGTGCTCTGTCCCGGGTGATCTGCAAGCCAAGGTAGCTGCGCAGTTCACCCAGGTCTGTGCACGTGTGTCTCTTCTGCAGCTCGGACTTCACGTGAGCGAGTCCAGCAGTGTCAGCTGTGGCAAAGACCAAGTCGTCGACGTACACGAGGATGTAGAACGGCGGCAAAGAAGTGTCGGTGCGCAGAAACAGCGACGGGTCGGCAGTAGAAGGAGCAAACCCAAGAGCCGCAAGTGTAGTCCTCAGTGTGTCGTGCCACTCACGAGGTGCCTGGCGGAGACCGTAGTCTGGCCGCCGGAGGCTCCACTGGGTACCAGGAGGAAAAGACACAGTGAAGCCAGGTGGGCGGCGCAGCCAGATCTCCTCGTGCAGGCTGCCCTGCAAGAAAGCAGTGCTGAAGTCAAGAGAGTGAAGCTCGTAGTCACGGTGAGCGGCTATGTGCAGCAGTACCCAAAGAGTGGTCATCTTCGGGGTGGGAGAGAAGGTCTGAAAGTAGTCAACTCCTTGCCGCTGACTGATGCCACGAGCCACGTAACGCGCCTTGAAGACAGGCGGAGAACCCGGCAGCCGCTTCACCCTGAAAATCCACATGCCACTGACGATGTTCGCCCCAGGAGGGGGAACCTCGTCGACGTAGGTGCCTGTGGACTTCCAGGAAGCCATCTCTGCATCCATGGCTGCCTGCCACTGAGAGGAGTAGGGACCCTCTATCGCCTCCGCGTAGGAGCGCGGAGTCGGGATGTCTAGTGCATCCGGGTCTCCCTCAGGGGCAAGCAGCATGGACACAAGATGAGGTGAAGCAGCAGAAAAGCACTGGAACTCCTCCTGCCTGTCCTCAAGGACGTCCGTGCCAAGGGCACACTCACCCCCGACGGACGGAGGACAGACAGACTCAGACTCAGCGACAAGACTAGCAGCGTAGTCGAGGCGACAGCGAGCAGCGAAGTCGACAAGCTCAGAAACTAAGGCAGACGCAGCAGTGGACTCAAAGGAAGGGTCAGTGACAACAGTAGCAAGGAGACGCGTGACAGTAGGACTGGCAGCACGAAGGGAGTCCGACTCCGGGTCAGCAAGAACAGGAAGAGAGGACTCACGAGAAGGCAAAGGGGCACGCAGCGGAGCAGTGGAGGGACGCAGAGACATCCGGTGCATGCCTGGGACAGGGGGAGGACGCTGACGCGAACTACGACTACTGGTGCGCTCAGCACGGACAGGCGACGCAGGACGAGACGCAGGCTCACGACGCTCAGCAAGACCTCCAGTAGGACCAGTGTAGGGAGAAGGAGCAGGCAGAGGAGAGGTAGGCTGTAACTGTGACTCGGGCTGGACAGGCGGTGGACACTCTAAGGGAGGAGCAGGACTAGCAGAGGGCGGAAGACCAAGAACCTGCTCAAGGAGCGGAACGAAGTACGGCCGCGGCCGCTCAGCACCACCAGCACCAGAAGGGACAGCACCAGCACCCCGAACGACAGCACCAGCGCCAGCAGCACCCCCAGCTCCAGCAGCGCCAACTCCAGTACCCTT